GCACCGCTTCTCCGGCCATGCTGAGGCCGCGTCCCACATACAGCAACTAGAAGGATGTGCAGCTATGACATACAACTATCTACTGGGGCTTTGGAGGGAAAAAATAACTAAATAAAATCTTTAAAAAAAAAAAAAGTAAAACAAGAAAGTTTAGCTAAAAAGCCAATGAACAAATTAATATATTAAAATTGAATACTAAAAAATACTCAGTTAATGCAAAAGAGGGGAGAAAAGGAAGAACCAGAGGATTTTTTTAATGGAACAAATATAAAATAAATGGTAAAATGGTAGACCTAATATCAGTAAGTACATTAAATGTAAAGGAACTGAACATTCCTCTTAAAAGGCAGAGGTTGTCAGATTGGATCAAAAATCAGGATCGAACTATGTGCTGGTTATAAGAGGATTACCTTAAATATAAAAACAGAGATAGCTTAAAAATAAGAGAATGGAAAAGGATATTCTGTGCGAATGGTAAGCAAAAGAAACCCATGTGGTTATATCAGTAGCAGTAAATATCAATAAAATAGACTTTAAGACAAAGGTTATTATCAAGGATAAAGAAGGAGCATGATAAGAGAGGCCTTAGGAAACTTTCTGTGTTGATACAAAATGTTACATCTTGTTGGGATGGTGTTTACATGGATGTATACATACATATTTGTCATTTTATCAGAACTTAAGATCTTTTATCAAACTTAAGATCTTTGCATTTGTCTATATGAATTGTACCTTACAAATTTGAATGCAAAAACAAAAAGAAAAACCCAACAACCTTGTAAAGAATGTTGCCAGTATGATACATCAGACGGGAAAGCTGATGCCGTCACCTTTGTGCATCTGTGTGCTCCTGTTAGGAAGTCAGTCCTGCATCTTTCCCACCTAATAATATAGTTTCCTTTTCTGTAGTGCTTTCTTGCTACAACCTTTTTTTTTTGTTTTTTTCTCTCTAAAACTTAACATATTTTATTGGAAGTTACAATGCTTTCACCCCAGAGGCAGGAATCTTTCTCACAAAGACTAGTAACACTTCATATTATGGACATTTGAGTCTGGCATTTAGTTTGACATCACCCTGTACTTAAACGGTTCTTGTTCATTTCTTCACCAATTCTTGCTTACCTACAGTGTGCCAAGAGCTAGACCCCAGAGATAAAGTGGTGTCCTAAACAGACATGCTATCTGCCCTCATGGAGTTTAGTCGTAATTTCACTTTCTTTTGTAAAATTCAAGTTAACATGAAACTTTAAAAGCCAAAGGGTAAGCTCATTGGGTAAGAAGTTGCAGCATCTGTAATTCTGTATGTGAATTGTAGTGTGCACTAGATGCTCACCTCTGATGACAGTTCCTACCTATGTTTGGTGGTAAGCCATCAGAACAGAGAGCGGGATGAGAGTACCGTGGTATCACATATGTAGGAGTCCAGTTTCAAAGTCAGGGTGTAAGACGAAGAGGAAGTATAGGTAAAATTCTTGTCTTTAAACTTTGGCATCACATTGACTGAGCGAGACGCTCACACCAGCACATACATATGCCCGGGAACCGAGGTTGACTGGGGAAAGAGCTTCACGTTTTCCGTCTCACACTCATCAAGAGAAATGGCCCCGCTAAATCAGCCTTGCTATCTAAGTTGTTATTCCTCTCCCTTTCCTTCTCTTCCTCCCTGTTGTGTGTCAGGGTAGGGGAGGTGATGGGTGGGAGGAGCTGTGCATACAGAGTTAAATTCATGTAAATCAAATGAGATATGTACCGCATTTGGGAATTGCCATGTGCAGGAGATATCAAAGAAGCGAGTTTCAAACTCATGCAAGTAGTGAATGTAAATGTGAACTCATTTCTGTAGAACAATCAGCATTTAGATCACAGGGTTATCTTTACAACACCCAAATGCAGCCACTTCTCTGGAGAACTGTTTACAGCATTATTTTTATCCCCCTGATAGTTTGGGAAGCCAAAGTTTAAAGGACTATTGAACAAATGAATTTGGGAGTTAGAACACTGAGTTCAATGAAAAAGCCTTTTTAGCTGAAACAATTTTTTATAGCACCATATTTAATTCCTGTAAAACTGTATTCTAAGCTATATTCTGAGAGACGTTTCAGTGTTGCATTAAAAGTTTTTGCCTTTGGTAATTACTGATTCATTTGCTTTAAAACATCATGTCAACTTCTTTGGCTTAAGAGAAAGATTACCTTTTGTGCAGGGATAATGGGCTTAAAAGTCTAGTAAAAAACATATTTAACCAGTTTTCCCAATTTTGTTGTTTATTTTTCCCCCTTCTCTACAGTTTCGTGCCTTAGCACCAATGTATTATCGAGGGTCGGCTGCAGCTATAATCGTTTATGATATCACAAAAGAAGTAAGACGTACATACCGTTTTCTTTAGACTCTTTCAAAAACTCTCTTTTGGTTGCGTAGCTCTCCAGTTGCTTTCTTCTTTTGTGTTACAGGAGACATTTTCAACATTAAAGAATTGGGTGAAAGAGCTTGGACAGCACGGCCCACCTAATATTGTAGTTGCCATTGCAGGAAATAAGTGTGATCTTGTCGATGTCAGGTAAGGTATTAGAGCAGGAGATTACAGTGCTTCTGATGTGCTCAGTGCAACATTCAATATAAGAATCTTGCTTTTATTTTATCTCTGACATTGAAAAATTCCTTTCTGTTGTTTGGTTGGAGTGCTGAAGTTAAAAACTAAAATTAAGAGTTGAGACATTTGGAGCTAATTAGATTATATCTATGGACAGGTGTGTAATTTATTTAAACACTGGTTTCATCATACTTGACATTATCTGAGATTAGTGTAGCCCCCAGCTCCCATGACATAGGATACTTGGATGGGGAAAGCATATTTTAAGGAAAGAATATTTATTGGCAATTTCTCTGGACCACTTCCGTGATTCCCAAAGCAAGGACTATACTTTTGGGGGGAAAGAAACCCCTGCCATTCTCTGATCATTCCATTAGCTGCATTGCTAGTAGTGCCAAGTTCTGTTTGGTTTGGTTTGGTTTAACCATAGAAGTGGTATAATAGGCAGGACCACGTGTCAGGGCTTATTCACCAGCCATTTGTGACATTCTCTGTCATCATACATCTGGTCAGTTACTGGGTGGGTGGGAATGATGTTAAGCTGTTGATGAGTAGAATTTCTGATTTGCAATTGTTGCCTTCCAGAGAAGTCATGGAAAGAGATGCTAAGGACTACGCCGACTCCATCCATGCAATTTTTGTAGAGACCAGCGCAAAAAACGCGATAAACATAAATGAACTCTTTATAGAAATTAGTGAGTATTTCTGTGTCTTATGGGTTTACTCTGTGCAGAGCAACTTAAAACAGAATTATCTTGCTGGGTAGAATTCTCTTCTTACATAGTGTAGTCTAGTCTCTGATATTGTTCCCAGTGGAATGAGATTTGAGAATATAAGAGCGAAGGCCGGTTTTCATATCATGTTATAATTGCTGGAGAGCTGCTGTCTGATGACTATAGCCCTTCTAGAAAGAGTGTTACTACGAATAAATAATGCACAGGCCTTGAGGTCCTGGAAGCAGTCGTCTTTCCCTCTTTCTCTCTTTAAATGTGTTTCAATTAGTCGTCCAAAGTCATTGAAAATGAACAAAATAAATAAAGGGAAATTAAATGCATGTGTAATTCCACTGTAAGAAAACCTTCAAAAATTAATACTAGGCGAGTAAAAGGTAAGACCTCTTTTCCCCACCCCTCCCCCTTCCCTTTCCAGAAGTGTTGATATAATGACACTAGATGGGAGAGAGGCTGCTGCATACTTTTGGGATCCTCTACTGATTGTGTCTATGTTTATTCATTTCATTCAAATTCATCAAAATATTTATTGAGAACCGTTCAAGGCTCAGAGGAGATGGCAGTGAACAAGATAGTCGCAGCCCCTGCTCTCCTAGAGCGCACATTCTACTGTGGGAGACAGACAGTGAACACAAAAATAAGATCCTTTCAAATGATAAGCAGTGATTGAAGGAAAATAATATAGGATGAAGTGAAGGAGTGTCCACAGGTGGTCAGGAAAGGCCTCTCCATGGAGGTAATGTTGGAGCTGAGATCTGATGGAGCAGGCCATGCAGAGACCTGGCATTCAAGTTAACTGAACATACCACTTCCAGATGGAAAACAGGAGAAAGCTGACAGGGCACGGTGACCTTATTCATTAAGATCCGTCCTTTGGGTGAAATCTGAGATGACTGAAGCTGGAAGGGCGCTTGGCCATCATGTAGAGGAGGGACGTGAACTCCAGTGCCCACCAGGGCCCAGCAGGGACGGCCACCAGTAGAGCAGGCCTGGGGCAAGGGCTGAGAGTTGGGGGGCTGCAGAAAGCCCTGGCGACCCTGACAGCTGGCAGGTGTGGGCCCAGCTCCAGCAGTTGGGGCCACTCTGGAATGTAGGCTCCTGGTTGCCCAATTGCTGGGGTTATTTTTTTTTTTTTTTTTTTGATGTTTTTAGTTTGTTCAGAGAACCAGAGATCTGAATTGTACATAAATGTTCCATTGTTTAGATTTGGCCACTAATTCAGATATTTTCAGAGTACTGTGCAGGCCCATTTGACGCCAGATGTGGCCAGTGGATGCTGGTGTGCAGCCTCTAGTCCAGCCCCTTCATTTCAACATTAAAAAGTCATAATGTTTATTGTCCTCCTAGATCGTAAATAGCAGTTACTCAGATGCATTCTTGAAAGGCAACATAAGGCCAGTCGGGAATTTTTCACAGTTCAAGCTAAAATATCTAAATGTTTGGTGTCAGAGTGTGCTAAAATTATCACTGTTTTTTTTAAATGTTCTTTAGCAGTATTGAAAACAGGAAGGTAGTAAACTATACCAACAATGAAAATTCTTAAATAAAAACTAGCATGTACATACTCATTTTAACTGTGAAAAATAAAAAATATATGTTTGATTAGAAAAGATTAGAAAAATTTAGAGAGTTTTAAATTGAGTTTATTGTTTACTAGGTGTTGTAAAATTGCATTAGCCCAGTGCCTGGCATGCTAACTTTTTGTTGAGGTGTAATATACATACAGAGAAGTGCTCATATCAGAAGTATAATGCTCAAAGAATTTTCACAAACTGAGTATACTCCTGTAATGGGCACTCAGATCCAGACCCAGCAGGAGCCTCCACCATGCCATTCCAGTCCCTGCCCCTCCCCTCGAGGGAACCGCCATCTTGACTGCTAACTCTTCAGATTTGTTTTGCCTGTTTTTGTACTTTGTATTTTTTAAAACATACTGTATTTACTCTTTTGTGTCTGGCTTCCTTACCTCTCCATTACACTTGTTAGATTCATCCATGTCACTGCATGATTCATTCTCATTGCTGTAGTGTATGTGTGCATGTGTGTATGTCAGTGTCCGAGTTGGGAACAGCGGGGAGAATATCCACAGTGTAGTTATCCATTCTGTTGATAGGCCTTTGGTAGTTGTTTCCAGTTTAGAGCTCTCACAAGTAGTAGCTCTGTGAGCATGCTGCTTCATGTCCAATATCTACACATTTTTGTTGGGTATACTTACACCCAGGAGAAGAATTGCTGAGTCATTGGGTGTGTGTGTTCAGTACGAGTTTTCTGCCCAACAGTCCTCAAAGTGGTTATACTGATTCGTACTCACCAGTGGTGTGTGAGAATTCCAGTCACTCCGTCTCTGGTGGGTAGGTAGTGATCTGCATTTGTGATAGTTAGTGAAGTTGAGTGCCTTTCTGGATATTTATTTACATTTATGTAATATCTGGATATCCTCTTTTGTGAAGTTTGTCTATTTTCCAGTTGGGTTGCCTGCCTTTTTCTTAACATTTATAGTTTATTTTGAGTATGAGTCCATTGTTGATTATATGTATTGGAAAGATCTTTGTTTTTTTGATGAGGAAGATTGGCCCTGAGCTAACATCTGTTGCCAATCTTCCTCGTTTTGCTTGAGGAAGATTGTCCCTGAGCTAACATCTGTGCCACTCTTCCTCTGTTTTGTATGTGGGACACCCCCACAGCATGGCTGATGAGCAGTGTGTAGGTCCGCACCCAGGATCCAAACCCGCGCACCCCAGGCCGCTAAAGCAGAGCGCACAAACTTAACCACTATGTTGCTGGGCCAGTTCCTGGAGAGATCTTCTGCTCTGTGGCTTAACTTTCATTTTTGAATCAGCTCCTTTGATGAACTGGAGTTTTTAATCTTAATATAATCCAGTTTATCCTTATTCTCCTTTATGGTTAGCACTTTTTTGGCTTCTGTTTAAGAAATCATTGGGGGACAGCCCCGTGGCTTAGCGGTTAAGTGCGCACGCTCCAATACTGGCAGCCTGGGTTCGGATCCTGGGCGCGCACCGACACACCGCGTGTCCAGCCGTGCTGAGGCCGCATCCCACATACAGCAACTAGAAGGATGTGCAGCTATGACATACAACTATCTACTCGGGTTTTGGGGAGAAAAGTGGGGGGGGAAGGAGGAGGATTGGCAATAGATGTTAGCTCAGGGCTGATCTTCCTCAAAAAAAAAAAAAAGGAAAGAAATCATTGCCTATTCCCAGGTCATGAAGATGTTCTCCTCTGCTTTCTTCTAAAAATGTTTCAGAGATGGCTCTGTAATTCCAGTATCCATTTATTGAGAAATATGTAATAACAAGTTTCAGTAAAACTTTTAAATAAATTTGCCATTTATTCACAACAGTGTCTGTAGGCATTTGAAAAACAATTGTAGGACATACTGGGGGACATTTCTAGTCGTATAGACACCATATGTGGTATTACCCACCCAGATTTGCAGGCTGCTCAACATGCTGGAGTCTCCAGGCTTGGCCACCAAGGACCTGAGGGTTCGGCAGATTCCATCTCAGCCTCGTTAATGCCAAAAGATGCATGTGTCAATTCATTCCATGTTTTCAAAATACCTCACTCCCAGGTACTGTGCTAACGAGATACTGGAAACATAAAGATGAAGATCCAGGATCTCTTCCCTCAAAGAGCTTAGGGTCTAATTCGAGGGAGATAGTTGCATAAACAAATATGTAATAACGTGCTTCTGGCTCCTGGTTGATTTTAGTGTCTGAGGTGTTGGAGAGAGTTAGAAACTAGGAGGGCATCAGGAAAGCCTTTGTACAAAAAGCAGCCCTTGAGTTACCAGCTACATAGGTGGGTGGGTGATTTAAGGTTTCTCTCGAAATTCACATTATGCTTCATGGAGCAATAAAGTGAAACCTGTTGGTAGGAGAATAAAGTGGCACAACCTCTTCAGAGAGCAATTTGGCAGCATCTGTCAAAATTTAAATTGCACGTCCTTCTTGCATTTTGTGCTAGACAGACACTGAGAATACAGTGTATGTGTCAGATAAATACCCAGGTGTAGAATAGCGTGACCCAGCTCTTGAACTCCTGTTAGTTTATCCTACAGAGGCACTCATAGGTTCACTTTTTTTTGCATTGTTGTTATTAACATCAAAATATTGGAAACAAACTAAGTATCCATCAAGAGGGGAATGGTTAAGTAAATTACAGCGCATCCATACAACACAGTATCATAGAGCTATTAAAAAGAATGCTGTGATGGAACAATCCCCAGGATATATTAAGTGAAAACAGCAAGGTGGGGAACAGTGCACACTGTGTGCTCCTGTCTGGGTTCAGAAGGGGGACAGGTAGAGAGGTGTGTGTACTGTGCCTGTCTGTGCACATCTGTCTCTGGAAGGTCACCTCTGCCATGAGACAGAAAGAAAGGCATGTTCTGGTTGAATCTTTTTTTTACTGTATACATATGTATACATACCATATATATACTCAAAACAAAATGGTTTTTCTAACATGTAATTTTTTTTACTTAAAAAATTTTTACTAAATGCCATGTTACTATCCTTGTTTGGACCCTAGAACAGAAATAGGACATTAGTGGAAAAACTGATGGCATCTGGAAAAAGTCTGGAGCTCAATTAATAGTGATGTGCCAATGCTGAATTCTTCATTTTGACATGTGTCTCATGGTAATATAAGATATCAACACTAGGGGAAACTGGGTAAGGAGTATACAGCAACTCTCTGTGTTACCTTTGCAGCATTTCTGTAAATCTAAAATTAATCCAAAATTAAAAGTTTATTAAACTTTTTTATTTTAATGAAACCCATCAAATTGCATCTGCAAAATTGTTGTGTCTGAGAATGAACAGATTTGGAAAGTTAAAACTCATTTTCTTCCCTCCTCTCCTCTTGGTTTAGGTCGAAGAATTCCATCCACTGACACCAACCCGCCATCTGGCGGGAAGGGCTTCAAACTCCGAAGACAGCCTTCAGAGCCCAAGCGGAGCTGCTGCTGACTGAGCCTCGGCCTCTCAGACTTGATGATGAAGTAGGTGGTCCTGAATGTTAACAGGAGGGCTGGGGCCCCTGCCACCACGTGTCGCCCAGCCGGTCTTGGGTCTTCTTCGTGCAAAAAGGATTCACAGAACTTGACCGGTTATTTCCTCTTTGGAGACTGAAGCAATACTAGTTCAGTCTGTGGACCTCTGATGTGTAAAGAGTCTCTGGTGTACAAAGGGACTGCATCATTGGCTTTTGACCTTGCTGAAAAGGAACGTATAATTGTATGGATGGTAGGATTAAATTGTTGAGTAGTTTTGTAATCAAGATTTTATGTAACATTTGTAAAGGGAAAATTAGCACTTTTGTGGTTCTTGAGGGAAAAAAGACCTTGTGGAGATAATCATTTCCGTAGTTTCCCATTCCCACTGTTACAGGGAGTTGTATCATTGACAGTGTGGTAGGATATGGTAAGTTGAGGGGTGGCAATTATTATTTGAAACTAAAATGGGTTATTTATAGGACTGATGGAAATGATTCCATCCCACCATGTCTAAAGTACTTTTCATTGACGATGTTACAAACAGTAAGGTAACAACAACAGTTGCATAGCTCACCCTGGGTTTGCATTTTGACCCTGTCATGTACATGTCACCAAACACGTTATTGGCACCTTTTAAAATAAGCTCTTGTGATCAGGATGGTGATGGTAGAGAAGCTGCCTGGAATACATTGAATTCATATGTTTAAACTGACTAGCAATGGTTTGAAAAAGAGAAAGAAGAGGGAAAGTGGTGTAAATGCTGTCAATTTTTTATTTAACCCAGATGTTTTGGTGGGGAATACAATTATCTGTTGCTTAGCATATGTAAAGTTGTAGTCTATATTTATGAGACCATTGCTTAAAGATTATAAATTATGTAAATACATTAATAAATTCTGTGTTTCATTCAACACTCTGTTTAATCTTGCACCCAGTCTCGCATATGCCCACCTAATTTCAGCCTGTCCGCAGGAGATGCCTTGAAGCACTTTTATGTTGTGGAAAGCATAGAGCACGTAGCTTACAGTCTTTAAAGATTCCTCTGCCTTCCCTTCCTCGCCCCCTGCACATCCCATCTGGAAATCATAATAAAGACATATGCCACTTTGACAAGCCTGACTAGCCCTTCCTAGCCTTGGGGTAAAAGATTAAGCTCCAAGCTCGAGTCATTTTCCTGGTCTTGGGAATAAGTTCCGTTTAGCTTTTACAGCAACCTCAGACCAACTGTTTTAAGAGAGCTTTCCTTGTTAACAATTTAGCTTATCTTTCCGTTTCCCTTATTTTCCTCTGCCTCTGTTAGTGGTTAACACTCTTTTCCCTCAGGGAGCCTAATGAGGTTTTTAATATAATCTAAAAATAAAGCGCTGAAGTGAAGTTGGTGAAAATTTGTTCCTGGTCTAATTTGGCGCCCTTCCAACCTGAGTATTGTAAAGGAAGGAAATTTACAAGATTAAATAGGAAATGAAACAGCTTGAATTTCAAACTAAATTATGTTTGCAGAGCTATCCTTAAACTGAACAGTCGAAACTTGTAAAAATAATTGTTATTTCTTTGTGACCCCCACTTGATATGGATAGATTTTAATGGGAAAATTATAACTCAGATTAAGTAAAAAACGATTCCCCTTTCCCTGGTGTATATCTTAAGCATTTGAAATTGCTTATTCTCTTATTGAAATCATATAAAAGGAATGTAGTTAGTGAAAATTCTAACGTTGTTTTGTTTAAAATACATGTGGACTCCATATCCACCTAGCATCTTGTTTCCTTCCCAACATGAAATTAACAAGCTTTAAGAGAAAACACAGGACTCCAAGGGCTGGGCTCTACACCTGCAGGCGGTTTAACTTTATTTCGTATACATCCAGGTGAATCGGGGCATCTGGCCACTGCCCTGGTGTGTCCCTGACAGTCCCACTGCTGGGCCTCTATCTCCAGGACAACAAAATAAAACAAAGGTTACTTGACTCGTTACCGAAGAGGCAACTCGAGTGTGGCCCTTTCTGTCTTATTTTACGAAGAGATGACGCAAATCTGTGACCTTCACATTTTTTCCACCAAACCTGTCAGTCAATGTTGATGGCTTCCTGGTGTCTGGGTGGACAGGGAAAGGCAGAGTGCTTCCATGCCTCGCCTTATTGGTAAGGTGCCTGAATGCCTCTGACCCTATCGTTGACGTTTACTGCGTTTAGCCCAAAACAGGTCCGTCTCTTAAGCCCCCTGCTGTTGGTTTCTCTTCAAGATTTCTCGTACTCCTTCCCGTACTTAGAGAGTGATTCTGTTTGATTATGGCCACATGTTTTATTAACAGAATGGTGATGTATGGCTTGTGCAACATCACTATTGTTCACGAATATCTGGGGTCTCTTCTCTTCTACCCTCATTTTCATCAGTCTGTCTTGGAAATTGATATGGCACTGTTTCTCATGTAGTATCTTTTTAATGGTTAACAACAACAACAGCAAATTGCTATCTGAAATCTATAATCCATACTCAATGAAAACAGGAAAAAATGTTTTCATTATTTGGTTTGCTTCTGAAATGCAAAGATGAATATTAAAGTCAGAAACAGTGTTTTATTTTGAACACACTTCGGATTATTAACCTGACTAAGCAATGATCTAATACACATTTCATATATTCTTTATTGTCATTTCTTATTATGTGAAAAGGCTAGATTTTAAAGGAATTGAGATATAGCCCATCTAGAAAAATCTTCTTTTGGTTCCCTTATGATACAGGGCCATTTTTAAAAACTTTTGGGACTGAAAAGAAAAATCTTTAATTAGCTGCAAGTGTATATTGATTCCTCTCAGAGTAATTGAAATAAGCTCTTTGCAGGTGTCCAATCCTAGTAACCATTGGTCTCTAGAACTCTCCTTGCACACAAGTGTTTTTCTGATTCTCTGATAACTAATTAACTATCATTTGGTGATTAAAAGAACATTAAGTAAGAGTATGATTAAGTGTCCTTCATTGTAAACTCTCTTTAAGAAGTGATTAGGAAGAAGTACCTATTGCAGGGCCTTCTGGTTCCAGGTGAAACCTCTATCACCTGCTTTTCAGCCACAGTCAGGATAAATTCTACACATAGCAACTGAAAGAGTTAGTTCCTTTAAAATAACACACTTCCTTGTTGCTTGTTTATGATTTTGTTTGAAGTGCCTGCCTCGCATCACACACGCACTTCCTAGATGCTGCCCATGTCTGAAAGGATCAGCCTCTATATGAGAGGCTTGGCCCCTCCTTTCGGTGAGCCATGTCCTTCTTGAGGTTATCAATTTTCATTGTTTTTAAATATATAAAAAGGAAAAGAAAACCACATTTACTTTCAGAACTTCTCTTTAAGTCTTGTACTTACTTCTTTTCTATTCTCAAGAAGGAAAATAGGTCTAGAAGACCTTCTAAATTAAACTCTGGGAGAGAGAGTAATGAAAATGTCCTTCAGATAACTCTTTCATGGCTTGCCTGGAGATGTCAAACCAGAATATCCGTACTTTTGTGGCGTTGTTAAAATGGGCAGGTTTGATTCAGATTACACTGCACTCACTGGCATATCAGCCTCAGAGCTTGAAAAGGCCTTTGTGCATTGCTATATGCGTCTTTTACGGTCTGAGAGTGAGTTGTGAAAGAGGTTATATAAATTCTTATAAGCATTTTTTCACTCATTTTTTTTTCAGAATACGCTGAGAACATGATTCATGGCCCCTTAGTGTATAAGACAGAGATGCACAGTATGTTATATATAACAGATGATCCCCTTACATATTCAGATGCCTTTGCAAGAACCTGTATAAGTAATGGCAGAATCCTTTTTTTCTGGGGAAAAGTTATTGGAAGTCCCTTAACTCGGATCTGTACTAGGTACCTGCTTTAAACATTTGGGGGGAAATGACAGCCCGCAAACTCAGGCTGGCTCTCCCTTCTAGACTCTCTAGGCTGTAAATGTTCATCCGAACTCGGTAATGAAAGTTAAACAGCAGTGATAAGGTAGAAAGTGTGAACCTATAAAAAAATCTTCATTATTTAAATTTGTTTTAAAGGGACTAGCAGCATGACTTCTGTTTACTGTGTGACTTCAAGAGATAGTCTGCCTCTTAACAATATCTTTTAAAGGAAGAAATGGAATGTACCTTCAGGGGTCAAGTTGTTAGTATATACCCACCTTCAATTAGCTTGGTCCATCAGAAATTTTAAAATGATTCAAGGTAATATTGAGGAGATTTTTTTTTAACTCCTGTGGTACTATGATAAAAAATAGTCCAAGCAAGAAATTTATCTAGGAGATAAACATTATGCTGTATAGTTTTAGAAAAGGGACGGGGGGGTGGAATTTAGCCTAGGACAGAAAGAAACAACCTCTGCCAGTTTCTCTTGACAGCAGAGTTACTTGTCTTGACTTCCAGTAATAGAAATCCAGGCAATTTGATTATCCGATTTGCAAGAAACATTAATGGAATTCTGGGGCATTTGTCCTGTTTTATGTGCAAATGAAAGTCTAAAAAATATTAGAAGGGTATTGCATTTTTCAGGAGACTCCGCTTTTTCAATCTAAGAGAATGATAAGTGAGAGACCTGTTGTGATGAAGTTTCATTAGAAATAATGAAGAAAGTGAATAAATAGAACCGAGAATCTCCATATTTCTCAGTTTGTCCTTCAGGATTCTTTTACCATATAGGAAAATGATTTACTTTTCAAATCTAGAAGAACTTCCAGCAGCATAGATCAACTTTAATTTGATGGTCTGTACCATCAGAAATAACTAATATCTTTGTTCTTTCCTTTTAGAGTATAATCAATTATAGATAGGCTAGAATACTTTTGGCCTCAAAACAAAAGGATTCAGAAATTTAATAAAAAGAAAAATCTTAAACTTTACATCTTTTCCTTTTATTACATTAACATTTTAGATAGTAAGATTAGGATATGTCATTAGTAGGATATGTCATCAGTAGGTTCTGGAATTAAAACCGTAGAGTCTTAACCAAATTTAACAAAAAAATTTTTTAATTTATTGCCAGTTCATTTGCAGATCTGTATGGTGCCCAGTGCCTCATCAAAATGCTTTACAATTGAAACAAAGTTCTGGGTAGCTTTCCATGAACAGGAATTCAAGTACCAAGAATTTAGCCAATTAACGGGAAATCCTAAGGTAGTAATGATTTTTTGAAAGAGGTTTCTTTAATTGACAGTTTTAAACTGTAGACCTTAATGTGTTCTTAATCATGCAACAGAAACAAAACATGCTGGTTTTGATGCCACTTTTTGATTCAAGAACTTTTTAGTGTTTCTAGAAGCAAATTGTTTAATGCAGTACTTTGGAGGAAATCACCTTTAAAATAGCATTTCGCACGTAGGGCCAATAATCTTGACTCAGAACTGAAATTGTCCAGGAAACTCCACATCTTTTGTCATGTTGTAGAAAAACCAAGCATACCTTCTTCCTCAAGGTGAATCCAGAGCCCACTGACCTCTCAGCTGGAGTGGGGCAGGCCCGTGGGGGCGGGCAGCACGCCCACTCCCACTTCGGAACATTGTCAGCATGCGGCAGCGTATGATTTCACTCTGGGGCTTAGTCCTAGTATCATTTGTCCTTTATTAATTTTTTAATTAAATTTATACTTGAGTAATCAGTTTTACCCCGTGAAAAATTTTGAAAGCAGGGCTTGAATTTGTGTGCCTCAGCTTACTTCACATGAGGTTTACATAGTTTATGAAACAGTTCCTTAGTGTGGATCGTGCACATGATGTCAGAGTGGCTGGTGGATTCAACGCGGGGAAAATCGTCGGGCATCTGGCTAGTCAGAGCAACTGATTGGTGGCTCTATTTTTAAACCATTTGTTGTGTTGTGTAGGCAGAGCTTTATTGCCCTGGAGAAGATTTTTTTTTCCTCTCATCCAGCTCAGACCTTCCAT